GCCAGAGATGCAGGGGCGGTGAGAGGATTCACCAGAGACAGAGTGGGGAGCAGAACAGGCAGATTGACAAAGTTCACTGCTGAGGGGAGCAATGGGTGGGTCAGAAGAGGTCTGCCATGCCATGTGGGTCACCTCTGGCGCTGGGGATCGAACTGGTGCTGCAGTGGCTTTGGAGAGCTTCATAATGCGGTGCTTTAACATCATGCCACTAGGGAGAGCCCAATTTGGCTATTTTAAAACAAAAGTATAAAAAGTTTTATATGTGGTCTGCTTTGTTTGATACAACGAGTTTCTTTCAATGCATATTCCATTTTCCCAAAATAAATGACACATGCAGAACAACTCTCCTGCCAGACTTCCGCCACTTGATTTCAGATATTTTGTTGTGTTAGACACCTCTCCTCCTCTGTTTTCCTAATCAGTGGAATTTACTACATGTTCCAATATGTATGAACCCCCAAACAGAGAGACCTTCTACTTGTACATGCTGTAGTAAAACTTCTGAGTCTCTGGAAAATAGACTAGCTACCCTTGCACTGGGTAAGACCTGCCAGAGTCCTCTTGCAGGACGTCCTCTATGGTGTGATGGTCAGCTGCGAGCTGGTTCCCTAGGACACATACAAAGTAAAAAGACTGCATGTTGGACTTCTTTCTTGTTCCTGGCAGCGTTCCTTTCAAGCAGTTACTGTCAATACTTGTGTTGCTGCTTTGGTTTAGGACTCAAAAGGTTTTCCTCCCTTTGTTTTAGGTATCAGCAGCTGGAGGAGGAGTCTGCCAGTCTCCGTGAACGCATCCGACACCTGGATGACATGGTGCATTGTCAGCAGAAGAAGGTCAAGCAGATGGTTGAGGAGGTAAGCCCTTGTAATAGGTCATGGGGCTCCAGGTTGCTTCCTGTGAGGGGACAGTCCAGCCCCACAACCAGACCGGACCTCTCTGAACTTGCTCAGACCACTGCTATCTTAGCCTGGAGGAGAATTCTTCCTGTATTGCTGTGGACTGGTGATTATCCCTCAAAAAGAGGACCTTCTCCAGATCTAAGACTTACTGTTTAGAAATCTATGAGCTTCTAAACTGCAGTTCACTCTCTCTCAGATGACAGTGATACCTGTGTGGGTGTCACAGCTCAGGAGCAAAGGGTATAAGCAAAAAAGGTAACCTGAGCTCAGGTCTTGGATCTTCCCAGAGCCAGTTAAGCAAAAACCTTTCTCCACATCTCGGTGCTCTTACATTCTCTTTTCTCTTTTTTCTCCTCCCTTAATCTATTCTCTCACTTTTGTTTCTTATTCATCTTTTTTCTACAGTCCTTTCTCAACTTAATTGCCTATAAAATAGGCAAGTTATTTGTTTATTGTAAGCAGGACAAAGCTTACTGTTCTATTTTTGTAATTGAAAAAAGCAGGTAAGTTGAACATTGATTAGAGAACTTGCTGTTATGACTTGTGTGTCTTGTGGTATTACACAATAGAAGAAAGTCCATGTAGTAAAGTTAATCCTATGGGATTGAGATTTTTTTTTCTGTGCTATTGAAAAATCCAGTAGGATAAAAAAAGAGTAATTAGACTAATCAGGTTATAAGAATTCTCGAGGGTCTAATTCTCTCCCTTACAAAGAAGAGAAAAGGCTTCAACTTAATTAAACATTTGATTGACAGTGGAAAACTGAAAAAAAATTCTTACATTGAATACGGTTCTGAAATGTTATCTAAAATGAATTAAAAGTTCATTAATGAACTAAAATTAAAAGTATATCTACTTTGAATGAAGAAGTCACACATAGGACAGACAAAGAGAAGATTGAAAGTATATCTTTTGTTAATCCATAATATGTTGGAGACATCAGTGCAGGGGGATTAAGGTCAGAGAACTGTGAAGGATGAAGAGGGACAATCGCTTCTCTTGTGAGTGCGACAATCATTTGCTTAGACAAAAGCTGTTCCCTAAGTCCATTCATACTCTGTTGAATTTTGTGAGCCTCCTATTGGCTTATATGCAAGTATTGGGGAGTAGTAGGATAAAAGAATGGGGAGCAGAAGTGGGAAACTGCACATGCAGCCTGGCAGGAGGTTTGCCAGCAGCAGGGTGGGTGCGTCCTGCCCAGTCACAAAGGCCAGAGAGCGGCAAGGGCGTTTCCCAAGGAAATGCACTGGTTTGTCTCAGTGGGTGCTTCTGGGAACCTTGGCCCTCGTACAGCTCTTTCTGCTTCTGAATATCACACACATGAAATTGGCCATCAGGCTCTCCTTCCCCGCCCCCCGCCATGTGGCTCCTTGACCGCAGAGCACATTTCCTCTGCCTCACCAGTGAGCAAAACCTTGTACTACGGTTGCTTCTGATTCAGTTATTACCGATAATCGTTTTAGATTGGTATCAACACCAGAGACGCTTTTATAAAGACACTTTCCAAAAAAGTTTTAGGCTTCTTTGTGTCCTAACTTACCTCTGGACTGTGATGAAGAGATATTTACATATGAAGATATGTGTGTATTTAAAGGTCACTGTCCACGTTTTGTCTTACTACCTGTGATTTAACATTTCCTAAATAGGTTTCTCTGAGTTCAGAGAACTTAGGGTGTAGTCTGGAGGATCCAGTCCAAGGAAATGAAATCAGACTGAAATGAGATGCCCTCGTCAGAGTTTGCGCCATCTAGTGGTTGACTGTGTTTCAACAGTGGATGGAAAAAGAGGGCACACACCTTTCTCTAAATTTAAACTGCCTAGGTCAAGTAGTAAGAATGAATGTGCTCAGGAAACCATGTTGACTTATACAGCCAAAACCTGTTTTAAAAGGCTTACTTGCTACAGTCACTTATGTGAATATATTTCTTCAAACATCAGAAACATGAAAAAGGGACATTAACAAGTAAGAATCAGTTGGAAAGGAGTTACGAGCTCTAGAAATTCATGCATCAGTTGAAAGAAGTAGGGAAGAGATGGCCTAGGACAGATGTGAGAGCTGGGTTCACATCTTTGAAAGCAATCAGTGGGAAGTATTTTTCTTTTTTTATTGTAATGCAAAACCAGGCCAGGACCACTGGGTGGCACTTGGAAAAGAGGCAGAACTCAGCATTTCATTTAATAGGAAGAAAATGTAAGATTGGCTGCTCTGGAGATGTATTTAGCCCTTCACGATGGGTGTCATCTTAGTCATAATGTCTATGATGAAGTTTAGTTTAATCTTCGAATAAAGGACTTCTTTTCTCAACTCAAAACATCCAGGTAAATTGTCGGAGGTTCTTGGAATCTATAAATGTTAAGCACTGTTTACTTCCACCTCTGTTGGGTATAATTTAATCATCATCATCATCATCATCAATAACTGAATAAAAAGTAACTGGCTTCGGTACGATGGTCCTTAACCTTATACTGACTTGATTTTCAATGCAGAATGGTATCTATAGCTACAGACTTGTGCACCCAGGAAGGGCTAGTAGTGAACAGGGACAGGATAAGCACTTTGAAACGAAAGATGAGCCTATAACTACAGGCTCAAAGTTAGTTATAAAAATCAACACAAAGTGTCTTGTGTGAAATGTGGCACCAGATACCTCCTTTACGTGAAATCTTTCTGCTAGAAAGTCTCTCCTTGTGGAGGATGACAGGGATTGGCTATCTCCTTGGCATCGCAAGCTCTCTAATTCTGACTGACAAAATAAAGAAACAAAAAGCAAAGTAGAAGAGCCCTACTGTGCACACCCCTTTTGGACTTATAAGGGTTCGCCAGAAAATACAGAGCTATTGTACATATAGCCCCTGGGAAATTCTCTAATCCACCCTTTCACATGTCTAAACCCGGCTGCATCCATGTGGGGATCCAGATGTGGTCCTGCCCTCCTGCCTCTTACATGCTTGTAGTACTTGAGTTCTTGAGTAATCCTTGCCTTTGGGCTTCATTGTTTTGCTGGAAAATCTCTTAGGATTAGGTCCCTTTGTCTAGAATGCCTGCATTATTCACTTGCCTTTAAAGAACCAGGTCAGGGAGGAACAAAAGACTGGGAGAACCCACAGAGAAGTGGACACACCTTGACACCTCTTTAACTGCTGTTTCTCCAACACCAGGGATGTTCACACCTCTTTACTGGCCACGAACCAGTCCCAGCCCCTGTCAACCAAAGCAGCTTCCCTGCAATGGGGAAAATTATCTGCAGGAAGAAACAAATTCTTATTTCCCCTCAACAATGGTTGATTTGTATTTTTGACAGTGGACAATGATGGTACTCAACTGAATAAAGAGATTAAAGAGTGCTTTCATAAGAGTTCCTTTCCCTTTTGCATTCAGTCATAAGTACCCTTTTGTTTTATCAGTTCCTTCTTCGGATTTCCTATTGCCCTTTGGAAGAAGTAAAATGTTTCTTCCTACAGAAAGTGTCTGAGGGGTTTCCTTTCAGTTGCAGAGGAAACAAATGTGCTTACCCAATTCACCCTCTATAATTCAGAAGTTTAATGAGTGCAAAGAGGAACTGATTTCCTTATCAGTGCTTTTCCACCCAGGCTATACTTTAGAAACATTTAGAAGCTTAAAAAAAAAAAAAAAAAAAGCCAGAGTTGGGTAGGTGGCGGTGGAGGGAATGGGAGGAAATAGATTTGGGTTTTTTGGTTGTGTGTGTGTGTGTCTTGTTTGTTTTGGTTTATATTTTAAGTTACACAGAATTCTACAATGCAAACAGGATTGAGAACTCTTGTGCTGAATTCAGTCAGCACAGTGATTTGAGTGTTGGTTTTCCTGTTAATATATTCAGCAGCCTCCTGCTGAAACTGCTATACCCAAGGTAGAAAGAAAGCTGGTGGTGAGCTTTAAGTAGGAAGGACTTGAGGGATGAGACCCAGGAAGACCATTCAGCAGGGCCCTGGAGCACTGACATGGGAGACCTGGTATATTTATATGGCTGTTGATGATCCTGTCAGGGAATCTAAAGCAGTTCTTGCGATCCCTGTGTACAGAGGAGTTTATGGCAGCCTATTCTTCATAGCCATCCTGGCCTGGTGGCATCCAAATAATAAAATCTTCCCAGAGACTGTCCAAAAGCAAGCTTAGGAGAAGTTGATACTAAGGTTGGTAGATAAGTCTCACTTGTTTAACAGCTACTAGAATCTTAAAGGGATTCTTCCAGTCCATCTCATGTTTATGACAGCTGAGATCCTCCCACCAGTAAATCAAAAGTGCTCCCTGTGGTGGTCTTCCCACCGTGCTTGTGTGTGCACGTGTGCTCCAGCCACTTCTTTCTATACTGACGACCTTACGCTTGGCCACACTGCACCTCTGTAAAGCAAAGAACACAATGACTTGTTGAAATGATAGCAACAACAATGATCACTTCTTAAGTATGACAAAGCTGAACATTTCTGCAATTCCTGAGAAATGGTTTTAAAAGTACTTAATAATCAGCCCTAAGATTTTTTTTGAAGAGTGATGCAATTATCATAAAACAGTAGTGTTTTGGGGAAAACAAGCTGGGTCAAAGAGAATAGAGGATAAATAAGTTGAAGCTTTCAGAGAGTTGAGGCTTTGAGTTTCTGGGTTTTGGCTCATGAATCAGTCAGCAAAGCAGGATTTCTGGTCTTTTTTTTTTTTTTTAAGTCCCTCTCACTTAACTCCCAGGCCCTGAATCCACAGGCAGTCACTGCAGTTAGAGGCTATAGATTTCAGTGGATGGTGGCCAAGTGGTGAGGAGCATGGACTCTAGAATCAGGAAGACCTGTGTTTACTAATTGTGGGACCATCAAAATGTGGTTTTTGTTGTTGTTGTTGTTGTTGTCTGTAAGCCAGGGTTAATAACAGCATTTATCTGAATTCTATAATCTCAGCAATTTTGGTAAGAAATGAGATGATGCAGATGAAATACTCATAGTTTGTTGATGGGAACATAGGAAATATCCAGTAAATACTAACTGCTATCATTACATTGCTGATGGGTAAGTTCCTGCTGGGTATAGTCAAAGTAAACTTAAATGAATTAAAAGCGAACGTAGTTTGGTTGCTTTCTTGGCTGAATCACAGGACTATCCTCCCCTCTTGGGAGTTTTATGGGCCAAATGGGATTTTGGGGTAAGTTTCTCTCTTCTGTGCTCTGTGCTGTTTTCTAGCTTAGTCATCAATCCTTTGAATAGACTATGTATATACAGCACAGTTTAAACATTTTAATTTCTCTCCATCCCAAGAATCTTCCATTTTAAAAGGATCAGTGGTTTATTGGCATGTAGTCTCTTTCAAAGCTATTGTGTGGTGTGCTGAAGTATATAACAGAAAAGTATGTTTTTGTTAACTTCCCTGTGTTTAGAGAAGGTAATTTACATTGCTAATAGTTAGCCAGATGGGAGTAGGGGATACAAGGCATCCTATTGAACCCACCACCCTAACCCACTTGATTGAACTGTTTTTAGATCATGTCACATGAGCTCTTCTCCAGATTTAGTCTCCGGTTCTTTGGAAGATGATAAAATGGTAGCCGGTTCGGGGTTGAAAGCGATTCCTTTTATTGATCGTGATTAGAAGAAAACTTGCACCCTCTCTGCTGGGAAGAGGTGACATGTATCTGTGATGAGCCAGTGAACAAAACAGGAATGACATGCTATTGAAATGAAAATTTGGCCGTGTAGGGCTTTCATTTGTGAAAACACCCCTTCAAACTGCAGAGTCAAGAGAATTCAAAGATCCACAGAGTATTTTAGAAACTTGGGTTCTTAGACATCAAAGAAGGAGCTACGGTGAAAAAAACAATACTAAGAACAAATTCAGAAAATAACAGGTGGCCGCTGGTCCTTATATCTTGGAAAATGGGAGACTGACTTATGGAAAAACTAAGGACACTTGCTAAGGTGATGGAAGGCGGGCTTGAAGACCTTCAGTGCTCCGGGAAGGAAGTGCTGCCGACAGCATCATGCCCCTGAAAATACAGAAGCAGCCAAGTGTCTGTGTAGTTTGATTCTATTTGTATGTGGGAGGTGGCCCTGAGCATGTCCCTTCTGGATGGAGACCAACAGCTGTAGTCAACTTAGCCCTCATATTGTTTGTTTAAGAAATGTTGGTTTGCTTTTGTTACTGCGGGCATCTTGCCTGAACAGACGGTCCAACTAACTTCATGACAAGAAGTATATCAGCAAAAAGGACTATTTTCAGCTGAAATATATTCAAGTTAAATGTATTTCATGTATGATTTCTTTTTCTATTGGTCTTCTTGAGACATCCGCATGTGCTGTTATTACATCAAGAATTGACAGTGTTGTTGAAACTGGTTGTGGCAGTGGAACAGCCTGGGTAGACTGGGTGGTGTTAGCCTACATCAGCCAGTGGACTGGGCTAGTGGAGGGGGTTCATTAAGGTGCTGGGTGTCACTCTGGTGTTGGGTTCTCCACTCCTACCTCTTTTCTGTGGCATAGCAGGCAGGTAAATGGCTTCTTGTCAGTATTTGTCTTTGGTCTTCCATTTAGATTCTTCTCCCAGCGTTAGCAAATGGGAAAGAGAGGGGAAAGGCTGCAGTAGATAATTTCCCACATTTATAAATGAACTGTCATTGCATTTAAGCAGAAATCTGGCATAGATTAAATATGGCATTTAATCTCTGATTAAATGCTTCCTGGAGACTCTGATAGGTATTCCATATTTGAGAATTGCTAATCTAGGTGTCACTCTAGCTTGGTGTTCTAAGGATACCTTACTGTACGGATGTTTACTTAAATCCCTGGTATACATTTGTTCCAGTGGAATAGATTCATTGCCCAACTTCAAAAAATGAAATAATGTGAAACCAGGGACTGTAGTAGCTTGTAGAGTAAGTGGGTCATCCATGGTAGCTGCCCGCTCCAGGATGTCACCCTTGGAATGCTTCTCTCTTTTGGACTATATACACAGTACCTGGAAGTCAGATAGCTGTTATTTTTATGGAGTAGAGAGTGAGTGAGGTGCCAGGTGTCTTCCTAAGAAGTTGCACCTTCCTGAGAAGGGGCCTAAGAATGCTCTTTAAGTGTTGCTGGCATCTCTCAGACTGGCAGTGTGTCCTAAGTCACTTGGTGATTTCCTGAGATCTGAGTCCCTTGCTGACAGGACCTTCCTCCACTTACTCTTCCCTGCCTTGCTGGTATCCCTCTGTTTGGCCTTTCCTGCATTGAATGTGATTTGTATGGACTTAACTTACCACCTGTCAAAATGGAGTTAGGTGCTCAAATCCTGTCCTGCTTCCCAGTCTCTCAAGAATGACCTCTTATAGTCACTCACACCCACACCTGGAAGAGATGCTATTCAAAATTTGAGACAGAATTTATTTATAATAATGAAAAAACACTTTACTCATTTATTTATTCTAAACTCTTAGGTATTTTACCTAAAAATATATGTTTTTGAAAGGAGAATGTATATCTTTTTTTTCCTATGTAGTGTAGAAATATAGCAGGCTCATTTGATGACATGTGTTGATTCCAGCTGTCCACTCGAGGGAAAAGTTCTTTGTAAATGTTGTTGAATCTCTTTGTTTCAAGACTATGCACATAGTCCCACATGAACCTTCTATGGGAGGGTTACTACTGGAATCTGTTTTAGCATAGGAAACCAACTAAGGGTCCTCAAAAAGTAGTCACAGTCTCTCAGCAAATGACACTTATGTTGTGTCCACAGCCAACCTAGTTATTCCCAGACCAGTCTTCATGTTTTGCTTCCTTTTTACTGGAAAAAACATTGAATTATAAGAGATTGATTAAAACAAAAAACCAACTCTAGAATTAACAAATGTAAGCATTTTAGCATATTTCAGATTTTTTTTTCTATACAAATAAATAAAAAAAAATTATAGTTAAGAGGTCTTTTTTTACTCTGCTTCTGACCTTTCCCTCTCCCCCTCCCTCCTTCTCAGAGGCAGTTGGTCCCTTCTCAAGCCATATTTCAGTACTTTTACTATACATATACACATAGCTTTGTAGTGCTTATTGGCATGTAGCTTAGTTTATGTGTTAAAAATTATGTACATTTTTAGTTCTAATATATAAGAAAATTGTATATATTTGACAACCTACTCTTTTCCTCTATTTTGTTTTAGATGTTTTATGTATAGTTATAAATTATTCATCTTTATGACTATCTAATATTCCGTATGTCCTGTTAGTAGACATTAGCTTGTTTCTGATGTTTTTTTCTTTTACAAATAATGGCAAATATGTCTTTATCCTTCTCTTACTTGGGAATATATTTAGAGGAGGAATTTCCAGGGTTTGGCATGGACGCAATTTTACCCTTATCATGTATTTTTGATTTGCTGTTGAAATTCCACATACCCTTCCACTAGTCATGCATGAAAGATTTCTCTGCATCCTCACTACCTATTGGCACAGTTGAACTATAATTTTTGCTAGTTGTAAACCATCATCTCTTTGTTTTAATTTGAGTCAGCCTGACTATTGGTCATTATTACGAGTAAGGGTGAGCACCTTCTCATAAGCTACTGACCATGTGGGTGCCTCCTGCAGGAGCTGACTGTTCATTCATTTGTTCATTTTCTACTTGGTTGCTAACCATTTTCCTCCTGATTTATTGGAATGCTTTATGCTTTCAATGTTAATTATTTTTCCAAAAATATCTGGATGTCATTATCTTTTCTCAGTCACTGCATTTTGTTTGTTCGTGATATATCATGTCATGTACATGTTTTAACTTTCGGTGTAGTTAAAGTGATGTATTTTTTTTGGTGCTGTGTTGTTTGTGTTATTTGTCACAAGAGTACTTTTTGTACTTGTCTTAGAGTTTTGTTTTTCATTTTTGGACTTCAGTTACAGTCCTCTACATTCATACTATGTTCTTTGCTCTATTTTTTCTTCATAGTACTTACCATCTTACAACATGTCCTGTACTTTACCTATCTGTTTTGCTTATTTATTCTATGTGTTGTTTGTTCCCCTCCACTAGAATGTAAGCCCCATGAGGGCAGTGGCTTTTGTCTGTTTCCTTCATGACTGCATCCCAAATTTCTGGAACAATCCCTGGCATATAGAAGTGCTCAATAAATACTTGCTGAACAAATAAAGAATAATCTATGCAGATGTCTCTGTGTGTATATGGTATTAGCAGGGCTCTACTTTGCTGTTGTTTCAGAAACCTTGTTCTTCTCCCAGTACTTAACTGAATAGTCCACTCTTACCCTCAAAACTTTTTTCATGCCACCTTTATCAAGTTGCAATGGTTTCCCCTGTGCCACCATCTTTGCTTATCCCCATTCTCCTGCCCCTGTGCTGAAAGCTACATGAAACGCAGTCCTCTGGCTTAGGACCAGGGAATATGGGTGATGAGGAGCCAGGAGCAATTTATGGGGAGCTATTTTCTGAAAAGTCAGTCAGTAAACATTTAAAGAGCACCATATAAGAACCGAATGCAAAAACGGACATGAGTTTCTGCTTTCGAAGGACTTTCTGGTTGACATTAAAACTTGTTAGAACTCAAAGCAGAATATGATAAGAGTTAAAAGAGAGTATGAGTTTTGCATGAGGGACATTGAAGCTGGAGATGGCAGTGGCATTTCATCCTGCTGCTGCCTTCATGGACTTTACATCTTGAGCAAGTAACTTATCCCTTCTAAGACTCAGTTTTCTTATCAACAAAATGGGAATGATAATTGCATCTTCAGAGGTTGTAAGGACTGACTGACATACTATATGCTAAGGACTTAGCACCGTACCTGTAAATGTTAATTAATTCTGGTGTGGGTTGAGAGTCTTTAGGGAGGAGGTGATATTTGACCAGGTCTTGCAGGATGGATTAGATTTTTTGAGCAGGAATTGAATGGGTGGACAAAGGCATGTCATACAAGAAACAATAAACAAAAAATAAAAACATGGAGGCCAGAAATTATAGGGTAAGCTCAGGAACCATTAATTTATCTTGAATGAATTGTGGGAGGGAATGGTAGTTAAGTAACTAGAAATGTCCATTGAGACCAGTTGCACAGGGTTAGCACCAAGCTGAGAAAGTATCCTTTATGACTTTGCTTTTAACTCCTTAATGGCTGCAAAGGCTTAGACAGAGCTAAGCCCAGGGTGATGCCTTTGACAGGGGGTGCTGGGCAAGTAGGAGGGGAAAAAAAGATAGGAAGGGCAGTGAGTAAGCACCTAGGAGAGACCTCACTGATGCAGGTGAGGTCTCATATTCCAGAACACTTGAACTTTAGAAATATTCTTTTAACTTCCACATTTCCTCGCATCAGGTCTTGTGAGGTGTGGCGCTGGGTTCTTTTGTGTACATCAGCGCTAACATTAGTCTCAGACGGCTCTCCCCCTGGATGTTCCTGTCCAGTGGATAGCCTTTGTCCCTGAGATTGCATCCACAGAGGAAGGCACAGGGGAAGAGCAGCTCACTGCACCCTCGTCTTTACTTCTGCATTCCACAGTCCTGTACAAAAGTCACAGGTGACAACCGCATAGTTTAAAGAATTAGGGCTCCAGCTACCCTTCATAAAATGTATTGCTGCCAACATTCTTCCAGTTTTGCCTACTCTCTGAGTAGCACTGCAACCATAGATCGTTACACCTCTGAACACCACACCACGTGTGGTGGGAGAGAGGCTTGGGTTTAGATAGCCTTGCCAGCCTCTAGTTCTCAATGACCAACTCTCTTGGTTTGCCTGCTAATACAAAGATTCCTGTACATAAAACTTCAGCACTAAAACCTGGAAAATTCCAGACAAACTGACATGAGCAGGTCACTCCCCTTAGCTCTGTCATCTGAAACTAACCCCCACCCCAGTCAGCCATCAGCAAGTCCATCCATTCTTAAGGGTTCCAAATCTCACTGCCTGTTCCTTTTCTTTCTCAGTGTATTGCCCGTTTTCCTCTCTGGGATGCCTGTTCCATGAAGGTGGAGGCCAGGTCTACCTAGCTCTCTGCTGTATTCTCAGCTTCAGATGCAGAGGTGGTCGTAGTTGATCATAGACGAAATGAGCAAATGATGAAACTCGGGCCCACACCTATGGGGATAGCCATACTTAGTGTTGTTTTTGAGAAGAATAAGTTGACACAGCAAAAACCCTGGTACCCAGCACACCCCTCTTTCTTCCTTCCAGTGCATGCACACATTCTAGAGAAGCAGTTTATTCACCCTTCCCCGGTATTTATGCAGCCTGATCATATATACAGGCTCCAGGAAGATCAGGGTACTTTTCCTGTCCTTAGAGGGCAGTTGGTTTGTCTTTTATGTAAGATAGAAATCAAAACAAATTAGATTATTTTTTTACCTCAGAAGCCAGTTTCAACTGATCCTTTTCAAGAGTACAGTTCTACTATCTATTACTTGAAACTTAATAGAAAAAATTGATTAAAATATGTGTCCTGCTCATATCTAGCCTGGCTGAATGCCACAAGATACATTAATTGAAAATGAATTTCCACAAACCCAATCAAGCATCATGAAGATGAAAAATGTACCTTTTTCCCTTCGTCCCTTCATTGATTTTTCATTTTCCCCACTCAGGGCTTCATTTAGCAATTTTTCAGTTTCGTTTTGTTTGGCCTTAATTCATTCCCTTCGCTCCCCCCAAAATGAGATAATGTACCATTTTCCTTGTCCTTTTAAAAGTGTCCTTTCATGCTGCATTAGTACAGGGCAGAATTTGATCTGCGATATTTCCCTTCATTTTGTTATACTTTAGGAAAAGAAAGTACCTTTATTATTTTTTAAATTTTTGCTGTGGGTTCTTTTTTCTATTAAGGAAAATGCACTTAAAAGTACAATAACTTTGAAATTCCAATGTTACAGAGTAGTAAAATGGGATTAAGAGAAACTCTAGCAAAAATTAAAACATTCTTTTCAGAGGAAGAGTGTAAAAATTATTCTCATTTTTCACAGTGGGATATAGGAGGATCAAGCTTGGTTTCTGTTTTGTTGAGGTAAAAAGAGACAATTGCCAGATCACAGAGGGAGGAAGAGGTTGGATTGACAACAAGACCCTGTCAGAACTAGAGGAGGCAAAGAGAAGAGGTGGCCAAAGCTGTGAGGAACCCTAGAAGCGTCCTGCTAGGCCTATTCTGTCCTTGGCCTGGTCAGCTCACTGAGTGCCTGGATCTCTATGGTGTTTGAAGACAATGGAACTTCGTATTATTTTCTTTCAGAAATTTCAAATAATCCAGTAGCATAAATTTCCCTTTTAAATTCCATGAGAGCCCACAATCAAGTGCCATGTGGCTTTACTTTGACCTAGAATTCACACTCCTACTTGTCTCATTTTGACTGGAAACATTGATTGACAGTTACTTATCTTTGACACATTTTCAAAGGAAAATGAATTATTTCTTCATCAGTGCAGTTTAAAGCAGGAAGTTTTTTTTTTTTTT